TTTAAATGCTTCCCAGCCCGGCTGGACAGTGCCTGCCAGGAGTGACTTGGGATGGGTGTCCTCAGGGGACAGGTGCTCATCCCACCCATCCCCTCTGCAGGACCGGTCCCACACCTCCCATCCCTTGGCCATCAGCATCTTCCCAGCGGCGCTGCCTGCTCTGGGGCTCAGACCTGGATCATCCCCGTTGCCGGCAGCTGCCTGACCCAGCCGCCTGCCAGCCCTGAATGCTGAACTTGCCATCATGCACAGGTCATGGCGGCAGATAAAAGCTGAACTTGCTCCCTCCATCCCTGTGCATGCTCAGCGTCGTTGGGGACATCGTGATATTCCTGCTCATGGGTCTCCATGAAGAAAATCTCCTGCCCACAAAGCTGAGGCCAGGAGGGAGATCGTGGGTGCCTAAAATTATTCCACACCACGCAGGAGCTCACCAGTGGGGCCGAGGAGGAGGAGGAGTGCGGCTGGCATCAGGGAGAGAGGCAGCACCCTGACGTCTGGCCTCCCCACGCTATGCCGGCTGGCTGGATCGGGACCAGGTCTCATTGCTGCGCCGCAGTCCTCCAGCAGATGGGCGTCCAGAGGAGGTTGTCCCTGAAACACGCAGACAGCAGCGTTGGTGGTGATGGCCAGGAGAGCCTTTGCCCCACCAAGGGCCATGCAGGACCTGCAAACAATTCCCTCCTCGGCACTTGCTGGAGAAGTGACCAGGAGTCACATGAAAAATAATACAGACGGGATTTATTGAGAACAAGAGATTTTTTTTTTAGAGATGAAGCTGTAGGGCCACATCCCACCCACGAGACAAAACTGGAAGCAGTGAGAACCTCAGGGCTGGACTGCTGTACAGGCAGAAGGATGGACCTCAGACCCACCAGGACACCCAAATGCTGAGCCTCAGAGGTCTCACCCAGGGTCTTCAGCCCCCAAGACGTTCAGGGAACCATCCTGCCTGCATCCATGTGGAGCTTGTCCTTCTGTTACTTCTACATGAGGTTACAAGCAAACCCCGTAGCTCATATATACCATATACCCCATACCACACGTGGGTAAACTGAGTCACACATTAAATCCAGGCAGAACTGGGGAGGAGCTCCCCATCCACACAAGCCTGAAAAGCACTGAAACCCATGGAGTGGACCTAGTACTCCACCAAGTCATGTCACACAACCCCCTTTGGAAAGGGATGGTGCTTCACTTTGCCCCCAGCCAGGATGCCCACCCCATGTCCCTCCCCCAGGCTGCTCTGGCTCCGCTGGTGACAAACACTCAGTTAAAGCCCATCCTGGACACAGCCGTGGCCAACCCTCTGCTTTGCCTTGCCTCCTCTCCCTCCGGTGCTCTCCTCCAGTGAACTCCTGGAGACCATTCCCGCCTCCTCCTGACGAGAAGAGATCTGCTCTGCGGGTGACACAGCCTCCAGGCTCCCAGGGACCCTTCCCAGTGCCCACCCTGCAGAGGGGTCCCCACGGGGTCCCACCGGGCAGGACATGGTCATATATCCCACTTGAGTTACCAAGACGCCCTGTCCAGTGCCTTGCACCCATCTTTCTTCATCACCCTGTGATGAAATAATGCACCCAAGAGCTCTCTTGGGCAGCTCTGATTCCTGGCCACCGATGTTCCCCGAGACCTCCACGCTAACCACTCCACATGAGACCTCCGCCTCGCCTGGCACGTCCCCGGGGGCTTTACCCACAGGCCCCCATTGTCTCCGCTCTTTGTCATCCCGTGGGAAAAAGCAGGGAAAGGCATTTCTGTGAGAAGACAGAAATTTCTGGGGTCTGATACGACAGTGTCGTTCATCTGGGGGATGGAGATGCGAATTTGGCGGGGATGAGATGGAAAGCAAACAAGGGAATGTCAGGCAGAAACCAAGGAAGAGATTAAATGTAATAAGATGCTATTTCCCCTTCATTTACTGCTCCCTTCGGAAATTACTGCTGAAGTGGAGAATCTCTAGCTCTGTTTCACTCAGCCTGTTGGGCAGCGGGACGGGGGCTGATTCTGCTCTCCCTTACGCCCTGCGAACCCACAGCAGCACCCCAGCAGTCCCAGCAGTCGGCCTGACAGCAGCGCTGGGACAGCAGCGTGCGCTGGGGGAGCAGTGCCATCGTGAGGATGCTTTCACACGCTGGCTCTAAAGCCAAGGCTGTAAGTCTCAGCTAAGCGGAGGCCTAAAATTAGTCCCTCCAGCCTACACAAGGCGCAACATCTCCGGAAGGGGTGGGCACCGACTGCTGCTGCTTGAAGGATCTACTGATCGTCAGGAACTTGGGAAAGGACGGTGATGTCCGCTGTATCGGTGACCAAACACCCTCCCTGAGGAAACCCCTCATCCAGCCTTTCGCTGCTCCTGCTTTTCTGACATGGAGGCATGGGAAGAGCTCCCAGGTGGGACCATGTGCCGGTGCCGTGTCCCCCCAGCCAAGGTCCCTCAAGAACATAGGTTGGGTGGGCTCCCAAGCCTCCGGACCAAGCCTTTGGCTTTGTTGCCTGCACCAGCAAGAGATGATGTAGGACAGCACTGGAGGTGCAGGTTGGAGCCACCCTGGATGGGATATGGCCCCATTACACCTCCCTGCTCTCACCGCTCAGCTCCTGCTGACCAAGCCCCAGGAGGAGACCCGCCAGCAGGCAGACAGCTCAGTGCCGGGGGATGAAAATCAATCCAGTCCCTAAGGTGGTGTTTCTCAATACTCCATTCATCCCTCCTGCAGCACCGAATAATGTCGCCTTTTGTCCCGCCGGCCCTCCCCGCTCTCCGGTGGGGCAGGGCTGACAGA